ATAGTCCAGGAAAATAGTAAGCAAAAGAGAGCTGGGGTGGCTATACTAATAATAAACAAAATAGACTTTTTTTTTTGAGACAGGATCTCACTCTGTGGCCCAAGGTAGAGTGCAGTGGTGTGATCATAGCTCACCGCAGCCTCAAACTCCTGGGCTCAAGCAATCCTCCAGCCTCAGCCTCCCCAGTAGCTGGGACTACAGGTGCACACCACCATGCTCAGCTATTTTTTTTAATTTTGTAGAGATGGGGTCTCTCTTTGTTGCAGAGGCTGGTCTTGGACTCCCAGCCTCAAGCAATCCTCCTGCCTTGGCCTCCCAAAGTGCTGGGATCATAGGCATGAGCTACTACATCCAGCCAAAATAGACTTTTTGAGTCAAAAATTGTTACAGGAGACAGAGATGTACATTATATATTGATAGAAGAGTCACTGTATCAGGAATATATAACAATCATAAGCATATACATATCTAACCACAGACCTACCTCCCAAAACAAGAAACAAAAATTGACAGACCTGAAGGGGGAAATAGGCAATTCTATGATAATACTTGGAGAATTCAGTACCCCATTTTCAATAATGAATAAACAACTAGACAGAATGTCAGTAAAGAAATAGAGGACTTGAAACAATACTATAAACTGAGTAGACCTAACAGACATACACGGAACACTCCATCCAACTGCAGAATATACATTATTCTGGAGTGCACACGGAACATTCTCCTGAATAAACCATATGTTAGGCCAAAAAATAAGTCTTAATAAATTTAAAAAGACTGAAATAATATAAAGTATCTTCTCTCATCACAATGAAACTAGAAATCAGTAACAGAGGAAAAACTGGAAAATTCACAAATTGGTGAACATTAAATAGCACACCCTTAAGAACCAATGGGTCAAAGAAGAAATCAAAAGGAAAGTTAGAAAATACTTTGACATGAATGAAAACTAAAACAAAATATAACAAAACTTATAGGATAGCAAAAGCAATCCTCAAAGAGAAATATATGTCTGTATATGTCTATGTTAAAATAGATCAAAGACCTCAAATCAATAACTGAACTCTCTACCTTAAGGAACTAGAAAAGGAAAAGCAAATGAAACCCAAAGCTAGCATAAGAAAGGAAATAATAGAGATTAGAACAGAAATAAACGAAATGGGAAACAGAAAAACAACAGAGAAAAGCAACAAAACCAAAAATTGGTTCTTTGAAAACATCAACAAAATTGACAAACCTTTATCTAGACTGACTAAGAAAAAAGACAAGATACAAATTACTAAAATTAGAAATGAAAGTGGGAACATTATATTACCATACAGAAATACAAATGATTATAGGACAGTACTATAAATAATTATATGCCAACAAATTAGATAATCTAGATGCAATAGATAAATTCCCAGAAATACCCAAATTACCAAAACTGATTCAAGAAGAAATAGAATATTTGAATAAAACTATAACAAGTAAAGAGATTGAATCAGTATCAAAACCTCTCAACAAAGAAAAAAATCAGGACCAAATGGCTTCACTGATGAATTCTACCAGACTTTTAGAGAAGAATTAATAACAATCCTTCATAGACATTTCCAAAAAAATAGAAGAAGGAACACTTCCTGACTGATTCTATGAGGCCAGCATTAACATGATACCAAAGCCAGGTAAAGGGATCACAAGAAAAAAATGCTATAGGACAATATCCTTATGAATACACATGCAAAAATACTAGCAAACCACATCTAATAGCATATTAAGGTAATTATACATCATATCAAATTGGGATTTTTCCCAGGATTGCCAGGAGGGCTCAGCATATGAAAATCATTCAATGTAATATAGCATATTAATAGAATAAAGGATAAATATTACATGATATTCCCAATTTATGCAGAAAAAGCATTTGATGAAGTCCAATACCCTTTCGTGGTAAAAAAAAAAAAAAGCACTTAACAAACTAGGGATAGAATGTATGTATGAAAAATCCACGGCTAACATGATCTTAATGGCAAAAGACTGAAAGCTTCCCCCAAGATCAGGAACAACATGAGGATGTCTGTTTTCACCACTTCTACTTAATATTCTACTAGAAGTTCTAGCCAGACCAATTAGGCAAGAAAAAGAAACAAAAGAAAAAAGAAGAAACAAAAGGCATCCACATTGTAAAGCAACAAGTAAAACTATCTCTAATCACAAATGATACAATCTTATATAGAGAAAATTTTAAAGAATCCCCATAAATCTATTAGAGCTAATAAATGAATTCATAAAAGTTGAAGGACATATGACCAACACACAAAAACCCATTGTATTTCTATACACCAAAATAAACAACCCCACAAGGAAATTAAGAAAGCATTTCTATTTACAATAGCAGAAAAATAATAAAATACTTAAGAAAAATTAAACCAAGGAGGTGCAAGACTTGTATACTGTAAACTACACAAAATTGCTGACAGGAACTTAAAAAGACCTCAAAAAATGGAAAGACATCTTGTGTTCATGGATTTAAAAAATTAATGTTAAGGTGGTATACTCCTCAAAGTGATTTACAAATTCAATGTAATCCCTATCAAAATCCCCAGGGGCCTTTTTGAAAATATGGAAAAATTTACCGTAAAATTTGTACAGAATTGCAAGGGACCTTGAATAGCCAAAACATCTTGAAAAAGAAGAACAAAATTGGAGATCTCACACTTCCCAATTTCAAAACTTATAAAACTACAGTAACCAAAACAGCATAGTACTGATATTAGGATAGGCATATAAATCAATGGAATAGAATTAAGAGTACAGAAATAAACCCCTTTGTCTATGGCCAACTGATTTTCAACAAGAGTGCTAAGATAATTCAATGGAAAAAGAATAGTCCTTTCAACAAATGGTACCAGGACAACTGTATCCATATGCAAAAGAATGAAGTTGGACCCTTATCTCACATCACATACAAAAATTAACTCAAAATGGACCAAAGGACTAAATATAAGAGCTAAAACTCTAAAACATTTAGAAGAAAATGTAGAATTAAATCTTCATGATCTTAGATTTGCCAATTAGATATGACATCAAAAGCACAAATACCAAAAGAAAAAATGGACAAACTGGACTTCATCAAATTTTTTTAAAAAGTTATTCATCAAAGGATACTATCAAAAGACAACTCATAGAATGGGGGAAAATATTTACAAATCATATATCCTATAAGGGTCTAGTATCCTAAATATATAAAAACCTCTTACAACTCAACAACAAAAAGACAAACACCTAATTAATAAATGGGCAAAGGACTTGAATAGACACTTCTCCAAAGAAGATACACAAATGGCTAACAAGCACATGAAAAGACGCTTAACATCATTTGATAGGGAAATGCATATCAAACTCACAATGAGATACTACTTCACACCAACTAGCATGACCATAACTTTTTTTAAAAAGGAAAATAACAAGGGTTGCCAGGATGTGGAGGGATTGGAACCCTCATACACTACTGGTGGGAATGTAATGTAAAGTGGTGTAGCTGCTGGAGAAAACAGTTTGGCAGTTCCTCAAAAAGTTAAACATAGAATTACCACATGACTCAGCAATTCCACCCCAAGGTATAAACCCTGGAGAAGTAAAAATAGTGTTCAAACAAAAACTTGTACTTGAATGTTGATAATAGCACTATTCACAATAGCCAAAAGGTAGATAGGACACAAATGTCTGTCAATGAATCAATGGCTAAACAAAATGTGGTACATCCATACAATGGAGTATTATTCAGCCATAAATAGAAATGAAGTACTGATACATGCTACAATATGGATGAACCTCAAAAACATTACGCTAAGTGAAAGAAGCCAGACACAAAGACCACATATTGTATGATTCCATTTATATGAAATATCCACAATAGGCAAATACAGAAACCGAAAGCAGATTAGCAGTTGTCAGGGGCTGATGGGAGATAGGAATGGTGAATGACTGCCTAATAGGCACTGGGTTTCCATTTGGGAGAACCCAACAAGTTCTGAAACTAGATACTGGTGATGGTTGCATAACATTGTGAACGTACATAATGCCACTGAATTGTACACTTTAAAATGGTTAATAAGATGATAAATTTTATGTTACCTCTATTTTACCACAATAAAAAATGTTATCTAATTCGATCCTTCTACCAATTCAGACTATCCATCCCAATTCATCTGATTTAGTAGCATTTTGCAGAAAATGTAGTCATAGCCCAAATCCTTAAATCAAGGAGCATCCATCCAGGTACTACCAGCCTGTGCTTTAACTTGGTCCTAACCTAATTGTATTTTTGTTGGCATATCCAACTGAAGGCTGCTTCCCTTTATAGGATGTTTTAACATCAAAACAGGGTTTTGTTCTGACTGGTCAATTATCTTCAATATAAATTATGTTTCTATTTATTTTAGTTCGAAAGGTTAATTGTTCCAAACTCTACTTCACTCTAAGAGCCCTTTCAAGTTCAATAACAACCAATTAAATAAAATACACATTAGTTTGAGAATGAAAGTGCTGATATGGGCATAATCTACTAATTTACCAATTGTTGATGGATATTATTTGGTTGACAAACCTAGATATATGAAATACACACACACATACCCTCTCACATGTCAACTGATTTTTCACATGGATATGTGTCTATCAAATAATACTATATGCCCTAACCTTTGAGATTTTTTTATTTCAAAGTGTAGAAGCTTTGCTTCAGTAAAAATCTATATTTTTATCTTCATGAAATAACTCAAAACATCTGGAAAATATTTTTTTTTCTAAAATACTATCTTCCATTGCTTATGAATTAAAATGGTAATTATTTGGCTTGTAGAATTGGATGAAAAATGTGAACCACCATGCCAAGAATGTCAACTCCTTCCCCAAATACCCCTCTAGTGTTGAGCTACAGCAGGAGAAAAGGGAATGTAAGAAGAAATCATGCCTCTGATCTTCAACACCCCCTTCAACTAGCCCTTAGGAGCTAATACCTTCTTTGCTGTTAAGATCTTGTGTGGCAAAGCCTTCTTTTGTGGGCTCTTAGGGACTCATCATCAATAGGGATTTCTACCAGGTCCTTATAAATTGTGTCAGATTGGATAAGAGATAGGCTGATACTGGGTTGGCATGGGAGAAATGGTAGGATCTGTCAAAGGGGAGGATAGAAGAAACAAGTTAAAACCTATGTGCTTTCTCCCAAGTTGCTTGTGTTCTCTTGTTCCTTGATGGTTGAAAGACTAAGAACCAAAAGTGAGAAAAACAGGCCCAGGAAAGAATCTCCTACCTCCCTGTCTTCACTTTCAGTACCTACTCAAACCAAAGATTAATAGCCTTGATTGGTTGCTGCATGCTTTTGTCAATCCCCAAACACAGACAGAAACTTCAAATTGCTTGTTTGAGCAAAATCAGAACCCTGGTGTTATTTCCCTACTGATGCTAGCTATGAAACAAATTTTGTTTAATTCTGATCTTTGTTTTAATTCTGTCCATGTCTTTGGAAGTCCAATTCATGTAGAGGTGAATCTTTGTGTTATGATCTGGAATTGTCATCCAAACTACAATCTTTGCTCCTATTATTCCAGGGATTGTCTGGATTAGATCTTGTCTGTGTTGTTTTCTTATCTTAATCTGGTCAAGATCAATTTTCTGGGATTTTTAAGAAAATCTACAGAACTAGTCCTGGTTTCCTAAATGGATAAAATTGATCATTTGGGTTTTCCTTGGGGTTCAGCAGACTAATTTAGTTAATTCTAGTTTTAAGAACATGGTACACTTGACTTTGAGACACTGGTCCGTGCCATGGTCCTCTTAATATGGATCAGAATTCTTTATTTTAACTTTAACAAATACTGGTTATGCATCTACAATCAATTACATCCCATTACAGGAACTGGGCCTACAGCGATGAACAAAACAAAGTACTTACTGTCATGGAGCTGACATGCTTGCTTCTATCATAGGCCCTGCTCAGTCCATGGCCATACCCCCCTGAATGTGCCCAATCTCATCTAGGACCTGCTCAGCTCAAGACAGATAGCCTTCAGGCACTTTAACCAAAGGAAGGGGCCACAATGCAGGCTTGCCAAGCTTTTTCTCCTGGTGTCCTCCTGGCCAGGGTCTCCAGCATCCTCTTATAATTACCAGGCCCCATTGGAGGCTTTCAGGAAGAGGCCAGATCAACTATCCCCAAGCCCAGCTCTAATAATAATTATAATAATGGCAGCTAACATTTACTGAGGTCTTACAATGTGCCAGGTAGGGAGTGCTCTCCATAGATGTATCTCATTTAAACCACACAACAATTCTTTGAAACATTTGCTATTGTGGTCTCCATTTTACAGATGAAGAAAACAAAGTTTGAGAGATGATGTAACTGGCCCTAATTCTGCCGGTGGCAGAGCAAGCATTTGAAAGGTCTGTCCAGCTTGATGGCCCATGTTCTTAACCACTGTACACGCCTGTCTCCCAGGAAGGGGAGGTCCCATACTGAAGGCCAAGTTCAGGAAATACAAGGCAATAACCAGAACAGATGGTGTACCTGCTCCTTTAAGAAGGGCCACAGAGGGACAGTTAGGCCTGTGAGCAGTAAGCAAAACTGTAGTTTCAGTTTCTTAAATGACTGAATTCAACTTGATTCAACAACAAGAAGATGCTAATAATCTGCTGTCACATCTTAAATATTTGTGGTCAAATAAAAAGAACACAAAATGTCTTGGAAAGTAATCTAGGCACCCACATTTCTAACACTTCAGATAAGACACCAGGTGAAAAATCTGCCAGGGAATAAAATTGGCTCAGTCTCAGTATTGACACAACTATATACCTGGATTTCCTCTCACAATCTCCTAGCTGTCACTTAATCCATTAGAATCCTGCCCCTTCAAAAGACCTAGCCACTGGCCAAGTTCATACTTGCCCTAGCTTCTAGGTAGCACTGAGTGTAAGGACCTTTGACTTAATGCTATCAACTACCCTGACATTCAGAATTGTCACCTTGGTACTCAGGGGAAATTTCCCATGCACAGGTCAATCTGGTTGTTGATGACTCAATTCCTATTAACACCCTATGCTGTCTTCAGTGCTGTTTTCCAGGGTAAGGACTAAGGAATCAGGCCAAAGGTGTGAGGGGTAGGGCCAAACCAAACACTTACGAAAACTTGCGTTCGGGCTATTGTGGCTTTCCTTACCTCCTTCATTGTGAGAAGCAATGCCCCTAGAATATTTTCCTTTAATTTTCACAAAAACTAATATTTTTTTAAAAATGGAATATCTCTGCTGTAAGTCTCTGTGTTGCTGGCACTAAGAGAGACAGCAAAGAGGGAGGAGTCCTGAAAGTAGGTTTCGTCTTTCCAGATGTAAGAAATAACCCTGTGGCACTCGGTCACAGTCATGAGTTGGCAGGGAGTGTAGCTATGGAGGCAAGTGAAAGCTGGCATTGGTGTTTAAAATTGAAGACTGAAAAGTTCACAGAAGTGACTTTGCCTGCTGTCGTGCAAGAGGGCAACAGTCTGCTGACCCTAGGGGCTGCTTTACAACCATAGGGTCAGCACCGCTGGTGACTATCTTGGTGTTTTCTCCTCCACCCTTCATGGCTAATGGACCCAGCAGAATGGAAATCAGAGTGAGAGATGTTGGCTCCTAGGCAGACACGTCAGAAACAAGTACCTCTTACCTTTTGCCAAATGCAAAATAATCAGCTCTCCAGTGGAAAAGGGTCTCCTCCTTATGTGGACTTCCCATTTACATAAGGACCTATGGGCATAATCCCACCCACAGGCTAAGAGGAGGGAGGCAGCTGTTAAGATTGAAGGCACTACTGATGGGAATGTACTATCTGGCTGGTGGTATCTCCAGCTCCCCTCAGAGCACTTCTGGATCAGAGCTCTAGAAGAGTCTGACTGAGCAATGGATACCTCCCATAAGTTTAGGAATAGCAGGAAGTAAGAGACTGTCCTATGTATATGCTGCATTTTATGGGGGCTAAGGTGTACCCTTCTCCCTGTCCTGGCAGATACAAAGAGGTTGAGCATCTTAAAGACTGGGGTAATGGAAAGACCATGGGTTTTGAGGTCAACACATCTGGATCAGATTTCCAAGTCTATAACTTACTATCTGGTTGAGCTTGAGCAATTTCTTTAATCTCTCTGAATCTTTATTCAATCCTCATAAGCAACCCTTTAAGGTAGATATTAATATTATACCCACTGTAGAAGAGGAAAAGAAGGCTCAGAGAGGTTAAGCAACTAGCCCAGGGTCACACAGCCAGTAAGTAGCAGAGCAAGATTTCAAGCATAGATGTCTGTCTGACTCAGCTCTGAACAATTCCGCTCTTTTACCTCAGTGACCCTGGAATCATCAGTCCAGACTTCACTTCTTGGCACGACTCCAAACATGGCCTCAGACACAACTCCACGCATATTACTGCTCCCAGTTCTAGGCAGGGTTCTGGAAACGTGAGATCTCTATGGAAGAGAGGGAAAATCTTGGGAGTTGGTATACCAGCACATAAACAATGGAATGTCATTGTCAAAGTAATTCAAGTATTCTTGAGGTGTGTTAAGAGAAGGGAATATGGTAATACTGGCCAACACTGTGTGCCGGGCAATAGGTAGGCATGTCATATATCTATACGTTCTCTCATTCAATGCTTACAACATCCCTGTGGGGTAGAATTAGCTGAGAAGCAGGGCCAAATTCCTCTTCCATTTTTTTCAGCAGGGTTGGAGTAGGGAATAGAAGAATAGTCCAATTAAGCATTGATGCTCAAGCCCCCTATTACCTGCAGAGTTCTGCCTCTCTGGGGCTCTGTAGAGGGAAAGGTCATACTTGTTGATCTTTCAGGCTCAGATTCCAACATGAAGATGCTATCATGGGATAGGGCTTTGTTCCCCATGCCGCTCTTGGGCCTAAACAGAAAGGAAAGATCTTGTAAAAGCAGCCCAAGGGCCATAGGAATTGAAGACAAATATATACTCATAATGTGGTCTATCATAGATACCTCAGAAGGAGGGTGGTGATGCATACGTGCTGACACAGAAAGCTGTTCATGAGATATTAAGTGAAAAAATAAAGAATAGTATGGTCCCATTTAATATATGCACACATATATCATGTATTATGTATTACATACATATACAGTTTATGCTCAAAGAAAAAAGTCTGGAAGGATATCCACCAAATTGTTAGTGGTGGTTCCCTCTGAGGAATGACACTAGGGACAGGAAGGGGATTTTCATTTTCTACTTTATGTACTTCTATATAATTTTAATTTTTAAAATTATGAACATATATTTTTTCATATAACATTCTTATCGAGATACAGTTTACATACCATACAATTCACCTGTTTAATCCAATAGTGGCAACCCTGGGGAATGGGAGGGAAGGCCCTGCCTGAGTCTTACTATTATTATGGTGAGAATTATAAAAGATCTTCCACACTCAAATTTGTCCCTTTGTGTTTTTGTTTTGATTTGTTTTAAAATATCAAAGACCTGCCCAGATGTAGGAGGCTTTCATTCACCAGGTCTTCTCTTTCACACAAGGGCTTTGTGAGACATCTATCCTATTTTCAAAGTCATCTTGTATACTACCTGCCCCTCCATCCTCCAGCTTGCTAACCCCAGATGAAAATATCTTCTGATTAGGAATGGAGACAGGTTGATGAAAATTATGTGTTAATACAAATCAGGGGAAAGTTAGAAAGCAGTGAAGGGCTAAAGGCATGAAAGACTCCTTTGGGGATACGGTAATGTATTTTACCTTTTAAAAATTTCAACCAAAGACATCACAAGAAGAGAAAACTACAGTCCAATAGCTCTTACAAATATAAATTTAAAAATCCTCAATAAAATACTAGCAAACTGAACCCAGCAGCATGTAAAAAGAATTATACGACAAAGTAGGATTTGTAAGGAATGCAAGGTTAGTTTAACATATGAAAATCAATGAATGTAATAGACTATGTCAATAGAATAAAGCAAAAACCATATGACCATTTCAATAGATGTAGCAAAAACATTTGTAAAATCCAACACCCTTTCAGGATAAATGCACTCAACCTTGATAGAAGGCATCTGTGACAAACTCACAGCTACTATCATATTAATGGTGAAAGACTGGATGCTTTCCCCCTAAGATCAGGAACAAGATAAGCATGACTGCTCTTACCATTTCTTTTTTTTTTTTTAATTTCAGGGTATTATGAGGGTACAAACATTATGGTTACACTTTATGTCTTTGCCTCCCCCAAGCGAGGGTTAAAGGCATGCCCTTCCCCCCTACTATGCTCCCCGTGTCCTTTAGTTGCGGGTTTATCCCCCCCATCTCCCTAATCCCTGGAGAGTATTACTGCCATGTGATCGCCCTAGTGTTGATCAGTTAGTACCAATTTGATGGCGAGTACAAATGGAGCCCATTCTTCCGCTCTTGTGGTGCCTCACTTTGGATAATGGGCTTAAGTTTAATCCAGGAAAGTATAAGAGGTTCTAGATCACTGTCGTTTCTTATGATTCAGTAATATTCCATTGTATACATATACCAAATTTTAATAATCCACTCATGGATTGACGGGCACTTGGGTTGTTTCCACATCCTTGCAATAGTGAATTGTGCTGCCATAAACATTCGGGTGCAGATGTCTTTATCATAGAATGTTTTGTGCTCTTTTGGGCAGATGCCTAATAGTGCCATTGCTGGATCGAATGGTATTTCTATTTTTAGCTCTTTGATATTACCGTTTCTATTCAACATTGAATTGGATATTATAGCCAGAGAGATAGATTAGGTAAGAAAATGAAGTAAAAGACATCTGGAATGCAAAGGAAGAAGAGAAATTATATCTATTCACAAATGACATGATTTTGTATACAAAACTCCTAAGGAATCCACTAAAAACTATGAGAACTAATAAATGAATTCATCAAAGTTGAAGGATACTATACACTTGCAATGAATGACCTGAAAATGAAATTAAGAAAATACTTCTTTTACAATAGCAACAAAAATAATAAGGAATAAATTTAACAAAAGATGTATAAAACTTATACTTTGAAAACTATAAAATACTACCAAAAAAATTAAAGATAGCCTAACTAAATGGAAGGACATCCCATTTTCATGAATTGGAAGACTTAATCTTGTCAAGATAATAAAACTCCACAAAGTGGTCTACAGAATTAATGTTATCCCTATTGAGATTCTAGCTGCCTTTTTCCCACAAAAATGGACAAGGTAATCTTAAAATTCATAATGAAATGCAAAGAACCACAAACAGCCGAAACAATCTTGAAAAAAAAAACATACTTGGAAAACTCATACTTCCTGATTTCAAAGCTTACTACAAAACTACATTAATTAAGATGGTGTTGCACTGGCATAAAGATAAACATAGATCAGTGGAATAGAGTTGAGAGTCCAGAAATAAATCCATAAATCTATGGTTAGCTGTTTTGCAACAAGGATGCCAAGACCATTCAATGGGGAAAGGATCATCTTTTCAACAAATGGTGCTGGGGTAACTGAGTATCCACACACAAAAGAATGAAGTTGGACCCTATCTCATACTATAAATAAAAATTAACTCAAAACAGATCAAAGACCTAAATATAAAAGCTAAAACTATAAAACTCAGGAGAAGACATAGGGATAAATCTTCAAAAATCTGGATTTGGCAATGAATTCTTAGATATGACACCAAAAGCTCAAGCAACAAAAGAAAAAAATAGATAAATGAATTTCATCATAATTAAAAACAGTTGTGCTTCAAAGGTTACTAGCAAGAAAATGAAAAATCAACCTACATAATGGGAGTATATATTTGCAAATTATATATGTGATAAGGGACTTGTATCTAAACTATATAAAGAATTCTTACCATTAAGAACTCATATTATTGAATTCAATAATAAAAAGATAAATAACCCAATTAAAAATGAACAAAGGATCTGAATAGACATTGCTCCAAAGAAGATATGCAAATGGCCAACAAGCACGTGAAAAATATCCCCAACATCGTTAGTAAGCAGGGAAATACAAATCAAAACCATAATGAGATGCCATTTCACACCTACTAGAGTGGCTAGAATCAAAGATTCAGATAATAACAAGTGTTGGCAAGGTTGTGGAGAAATTGGAATACTCATACCCTGCTGGCAGGAATGTAAAATGGTATAGCCACTTTGGAAAACAGTCTGGAGGTTTCTCAAAAGGTTAAATATATAATCACCATTTGACTCAGCAATTCCACTCCTAGGTATACACTCAAGAGAAACAAAAACATATCCACCAAAAAATTTGTACACAAATGTTCATAGCTGCATTATTTATAATAGCCAAAAGGTAGAAACAACCCAAATATCGATCAATTGATGAATGGATAAAATGTGGTATGTTCATGCAATGGAACACCATTCAGTAGAAAAAAGGAAGTTCTGAAATATGTTACAATATGGATGAACCTTGAAAACATTCTGCTAAGTGAAAGATGCCAGTCACAAAAGATCACATTCTATTTATACGAAATGTCCAGAATAGGTAAATCCATAAAGACAGAAAGCAGATTAATGGTTTCCAAGGGCTGAAAGGAGAGGTTAATAGGGAGCACTGTTCAATGGATACAGTGATGAAAATGTTCTCAAATTGTGGTGATGGTTTCACAACATTGTGGATATATATATTTAAAAAACCCATTGAATTGTACAATTCAAATGGGTGAATTATATTGTATATGAATTATATCTCAATAAAGCTGTTACCAAAAAAGAAATGGAGTGCTTGATGCATGATTTCACATGGATGACCCTTGAAAACTTGCTAAGTGAAAGAAGCCAGTCAAAAAAGGCCACATATTGTATGATTCCATTTATGTGAAATGTCCACAATAAGCAAATCCACAGAGACAGAAAGCAGATTAGTGGTGGGCGAGAGGAGGGGAGAAATGGAGAATGACTGATGATGAGTACAGGGTTTCTTTTTAGGGTTATGAAATGTTCTAGAATTGGGTAATAGTGATGGCTGCATACCCTAAAAGGTAGAATTTTATAGTATGTAAATTAAATTTCAATAAAGCTGTTATATAAAAACATAAAGATACAAAATTATAAAGCTATTCCTATTAGGTAGGAAAAAATGTGTATATAAAAGATGTGATTAAACATGAAAGAAGAAAAGGAAGGACAGAAAAAGAAAGAGAGAAAGAAAAATAAAGGGCCAGCAAGCTGATACATGCTACTACATGGATGACCCCTCAACACATGCTAAATGAAACAAGCATGACTTTTGTATGATTCTACTTACATGAAATGTCCAGAATAAGCAAATTTATGGAGGCAGAAAGTAGATTGGTGGTTACTTAGCAGGTAGAGGGGAACGGAGATTGACTGATAATGGGTACAGTGTTTCTTTTAGGGATGGATGGAAATGTTCTAAAATTAGATGAAATAAAGTTTTAAATTTTTAAATACTTTTTTTGCACATATTACCTTTATTACAAAACAATACATACATGTTGGCACTTTAAAAAACAATCTTTAAATGGTAACTAGAGTAGCAGCTTGGGCATTGTAGGGCTAGAGCCTGCTCCGTCATTATGAGCATGTCTGGCTGCAGGACCTGTGCATGGGTGTATTCGATCATGACACACTCCAAGGACAATCTCATGTTATGAGGAATAAAATGGAACCACTCTAAGGTGGCTGTGACCAGCAAGAGAGGAGAGGAGGCAGATATCTGCTACTTTATACTAAACTCCTACCTACCTTTTCCCTATAAAACTCTGCTATCCAGGTGGCCCTGGTGGTGAAGGCAACACACTGCTTTACTATTAATAAAACAGCAGTCCAGCAGAAACGTAATGCAATTCTCTATATAAACACTTAATGGGCATAAATGATTGACCCAGCTTTGAGAGAGCAATGTTTCCAGACATTTTTATGTACACACATATGCTCATTATGCACACACACACATTTTCATTCTTTGCTGCTCTCTGACCTGCTGGCTCAAACCATGCTTGGAACCAGTGTAGCATCTGGGACTACCTTGCCTCCCCTGCTTTGCACAGAAAAACTAAGAGGAAACATTGGGCTATGAGTGGGCTTAGAAATCTCCCTCATTGCCACACTGTGCATCAGCCAGAGAACAGCTGAATTGGCTCTATAGTGCCAACCCTTCCCTGATCAAAGGATTACATTAGCACCAGTTGTGGCCAACTTTGCCAGAAATCAAAATTCTTGTCCACTGAACGTATCTAACTCTCATTGATTTGCTCCCTGGAGGCAAAAATTAAAAAAAAAAAATCCAAAAACTCCAAACAAAAGCTCAGCCTTAAGGACAATAAAGTACATTACAACAGTACCCATTAAGAAATCAAATGAAGGAATGGGATTTGTCTGTTCATCAGATACAGCTTAATACAGTCGTGGGAACAGATACTGGTCCCATTGTACAGGCAAGGGGAAGGCTGGCTATCAGTTTGGTTATGATTGATTGCTTCAGTGGATGAAAAAAGCTGATCTCCTTTCCTAACTCCTCAGTGACATCCTCAAAGGGTGATCTTCAGACCCCCTAAGATACATTCTTTCAATTAATCTATGCTCCTTGCAAAAAAAAGACCTCCTCCCACCCCTGCTCTCTGCCAGGTGAGCAGGCACACACATTTCTTAGTATGGAGAATATATCAGAGTAAATGGACTATTGTGGAGGGGGAGGAACAAGAGAGGGAAAGAGGGAAATGTAGAACTGTAGAACTGTAGTAGAGATGGGCCTTGCCAAATTGTAGAGAAAATGCAGCATAAATCCAAACACTCCTTCCCCCTGGTTTTTAACAGCGCTAGTCTTAGTCTTACTTAGAACTCTAAGGCAATGGGTTATAATGGTCCAAAACCATCTTCCCTCCACCCCAGCAAGGCTATCTGAAATTCCTCACACTGAACACACTCATTAAGGTTGTCCTTAAGGAGCCATATGTGATAACTATCAGGCCATTCTGTTACAGGGAGTATTGTGGGGAGGTATTGGGGACAGCATAACATGTCAGCTAACTGTCCCATTCCCACCAGGCAAAGACTTGAGGGAATGGGTAGCAGCATGGGTGAGCTCTATGGGAGTCCAGATAAGTCTGCAGTTTAAGGCCAGGAGAACAGGCCCAGGTAGAATTCCACAGAAGGTGATCTGACTGACCTGGGGACAGCTGGGGGTATTGGGTGTCCAGATAGCACAAGAGAATGTGGAAATTGGGGCACTGCTGATGAAAATTTGTGTCCAGTGGGGGCTGGAAACAGTCTTCCCCGTCCCTTCTGTAACCAGCTCTAGCATTTCCCCCAGTCTCCTGGGGTGGAGGGAGAAAGGGATTTGGGTTGCTTGCTTGCTTGTGTGTTTTTATAGCAACACAGTGATTTCATGCTTACGTCCTGCCCCACTCCACCCCCAGCTAGATGGCTCTACTATCTGAAGCTTTAATCATTCATTATGAGATCTGGCTCCCCTTGGCCAGATCTGCAGTCTGATAGCCAGGCAAGCAAATCAGACCAAGCCTCCTGAATGACACAGGCCCTTCTTACCATATGAAACAAGCGTCCAACTTTTCATTAGCCGTAGGCCCCACATCTTAAGTTATTTTAGCTGTGACAGGAAGGGTTTCTCTGATCTATCTGGGCCCTCTTACCTAGTGCTCTTGGGGAATGGGGTGTGCATTTGCCATGCTCCAACCCACTGAACTGTGCAGCCCAGACAACAAACACACATATATACACAGAAAAAGGCCCCTGGACACGGCTGCATTGGCAGTGGCTACCAGCCCAGCCCCCACAGGCAGGGAAGTCAAGAGTCCCTGGGATCAAAGGTCCATTGGTGATTTGGCTGCCAAAGGGGGACCTAGGTCTAGCTGCCTTCCCCTTGCCCTGTCCCCATCCCCCTCCACCCCATCAGAGCTTACCTAGGCTCAGTTTCTTGCTGATCTTCCGGAACTGGCTTCAGAGAAGAGATGCTAATGTTGCTGCTGGACAAGCTTGGCTTTAGCATTGTGCCTCCCTGGGCATCTTCAGGCTCTTTTTTCTTCTTCTTTCCAAAAAAGCTCTTGAAGGATTTAAATTTGAATTTCTTCTTTCCTGGAGGTGAGAAATGAAAGTGAGGCAGAGTGTGATGGTAGAAGGGAAGACAGGAAAGGATACAGAGCCTTCATGGCAGGAACGAGCACTGTGATACCGGGTGCCCTGCAGAACCTGGCCCTCACCCCCACAGCACCATCCATTTGGTTTGTTCCCCTCTTAGTCACTCAATAACAAAAGGTCTGAGTTGCTGGTGAAAGCAGAAGCCCAGGCCACAGCTTGTGATCTTTGGGCAGCCTCTATTCAGGCCGAACTCACTAGGCATTCGTTTGCCTCTCAATTTCAACTATCAACATACACACCTCTTTCCTTGTCCTAAGAAGTTCATTCCTATGAAGCAATTATTGAGCCAATGTAAGCACTTGGTTCTCCCCTGACCTCATCCTGGGGGCTGGAGTCATTGCAACACAGTGGGAGAACCAAGCTTCCACATGTGAAAAGCACTGCAGAAATCCAAGTCCAAGTGGGAGTTGATACTTCCCAGCCTGCACGCTGAAAGGATGCAAACCCAAAGAGTGAGTGCAGGTGGTCGCTGCAGTCAGGGAACACTCCCTTGAGGACAGAATTTATGAGCAAGAGAGAGGGCTGGGAATCGGAAAGAAGAAAGGGCTGCCCAGGTAAAGAATCTGCCTGTGCAAAAGGCATGTCAAAATCAGATAGCAAAGGGCTTTTCAAGATGTGTGTGTGTGTGTGTGTGTGTGTGTGTGTGTGTGTGATGAATTCTGTGTGTGTTCTTCAACTATTGCCAATTGGTTTGGATTATCTACAGGGTTGCTGTCCTCTGCACATGCAAGTAAATGAAAGTTTGCCCTATCTATAATAATTACCGGGGCACCAGTGAGGAATATGAGCTTTAAATGCTCCTAAGGCTCTGTTTCTGCCTTCTTTAGTTTCCTAATAAGCACATACGTCTTTATTGGGGCTCAGTAGAAGAGGAGAATGGGGTGGCGGACTCATGCTGCATTCTTCGGAGGGAAAGAATTAGCTCTTATCGATTTCACATGCAATAAGTTACCAACTCAGGTGTTGCATTCCAGTTCTCAACTGTCTGGTCTCCAGAAGGCTCGCCTGCTCAGCAATGCTCGGCTGGCAGTGAAGGGCCCAGCCAAGGGAGTTGCCAATGCAGCAGCCATTACGAAAGGCTAGATGGTGAGATGGAAAACACCACCGAAGAGTCAGAGAATTCTGGAATCCTAGGCTTGAATCTGCTATCAAGTAGCTCTGTGACCATGGGTAAGTCACTCAACCTCTCTGGGGCTCAACAGGAAAATGACGGGATTACACCTGATTAGCATCTCCCAAAGTATGTTCAGAAGGATGCTTACAAGGTTTGTTGCATGAAAAAGGGATCTGCAGTCCAGTCAATCTGGAAAATGCTGGATTAGACAAAGTTTCATGATCTGCTTTCCAATAAGACTTTTCTGAAACTTCAAAATGCTTGTGTGTATCATAAAGTTCCAAGAAACTGTCAACAATATTGTCTCCAATGCATGTAAGTGGAATCTCTGTCAAAACGTACTTTGGGAAATGCTGAACTAGGGTTCCTTCTAGCCCTGAAATGCCATGACCTATTTGTGTACTGATTAGTCCTTGGCCTGCCTATTAGAAAGTCAGTGCAATTCATGCTTCTCTCCTTTCTCTGAACACCTAAAACTTGACTGTTAGCAGCACAAGTTTTGCATCTGAATATTCTCTAGTCTGCTCACTCATTCATTCATCTATTCAACAAATCTTTGCTAAGGTCAAGCATTTACTATGTTCTGCATATCAATGAGAAAGGAACAAGATATAGTCCCTGGGTCTTAGCTACTGCCCCCACATCAAGGCTGTAGACAGGCCCTTTTTAGCATCCCCCTTAGCAACTAGTACAGTACAAGGTATATAGTAACACTTGAGAGACAACTGAGTCCATTGAGGGGAGCAGAATGCCAACACAGCTCATCACTTCCCTTCAATAGTGACCACTGAGCAGAGTCATCCTTGAGCATCCTATAATTTAAACACTGACCCTTATAGGAGTTGATGTAAATTATACATAACATAGGTAAAGAGCTTAGCATAGGATCTGCCATGTAGTAAGTGCTCAATAAAAGTGAGCTAGTATTAGGGACTCAATAATTACTTGTTTATTAGGGCCAGATTCAATTCCATCTGTGTTTATCAGAAGCAGCCCCACATCTATAACTGAATAGTGAACTCTAAAATATGCATGATTAGAAGCAGAAGTGAGCATGGGGTAGGTCCATGAAAAATCATAGGAATGTTTGCTTAATAATTGCTGCTTCAGTAATTTCTATTTTGGATGACTTGGGCAATTTCTTGTCTACTAGGATGTATCTATATAGGGTCATGGCTGGGAAAACTTGGCAATTCTACCTGAAGATAGAATAGAAAATGACAATGTAATAGGAAACATATGCTTTCCCCAAGTTCCCTTTTTAAATTTTTTCAGAAAAAAATTAAACTAATTTCTATGATAATAAATTAAAATATTCAAAATGATGTTTGACCTCACAGAACTACCATGAGGATTCGATGTGAAAGTTCTGAGAAATATACATTACAGAGTAGGCTGGCTCTAAAATCATCTTTATTTTGCTCTTTGGCCTTCTCAATCTCCCAACCCCCAAATGATTTCTTAAACCTATTAAATTGTGAGGCTTTCGAATGTAAAATCCTGATGGCTATAACCATTTTTGTGCTAGAAAATGTTTAACAGCTGGTTCTCTGGGGGAAATGCCCTGATCTGTAGTATTTGCCTATTTTTGTGGTGTAAGTACAGCCGCCATGGCCAGTTTGAAGCTACCAACGTGATGTTTGGGAAGAGACGTGCCCAGCCTCCCAAGCGAGTGTGAGCCAGCTCCAACATACCACTAAATAATTCCCACCCAGGGAGGACAAATTGAGCAGAATCCTCTCACAAACAGGAAGGAGCAAGATTTTTGGCCCTTGGAAATATTGCTATTTTCCAAACAGAAGGAACAACATGTATTGATTCTTGACAGATGGATCTCCTTCTGGCCTTCTGAAAGGGAAACAACTTCATGCTCAGAAAGTTTACAAACATAGTGATTGTTGCTCCTTTTGCCTCAAAATCTCATAGTGGAAGGGAGGAAGGCAAAGCTAGAGAATGTGGAGTTGCAAACCTGCTTCTCATAAACCAGCAAAGACAAAGAGAAGAGACAGTTGGCAGCTGGTAGCTCCATTTGTGACACAATCTATAAACACTGAAGAGCTGAATAAAAACACATCTAATAAACCCTTCAGGCTGTAAAACTGAATTTAACAAATATAATCATTGCATGAGCAGACAAAATTATGCATTATCATATTTTTATGTTCCTAAATTAACAAAATGACTAGCAACTTTGGAACTGTAACAGGTGCTAAAAATTAAGTATGCATATATTCCAATTTTCCATTCTTTGCTGGGTAGAAACAACAACTTATTTTCCCACAAGGATTGAAAATAGCTTAAGCAATGTGTGTCTCTTTCAACCATGGGCACTGGAAGGAAAAGAATGTTTACATTCCACCCTGTAGTGTGGCTCTGAGTATGGTAGCAGTATAGCTTTGTTAACAAGGAGTTGGGGAGATACCAATAAATGGTAACTACTAAAGATGGTGGGCTGGCTGTTCGTTGATCTAGAGCAGTGACTTGGAAGCTGGACATGGCCCTAGTGAGCAACCTATTGCCAGACATACAATGACATATGAAGACAACTTAGTCTTCGGCCTGCTTTGGATTAAGAGATTTCCCTACCCCTGACATATGGAGAGAAGCCCTGGTCTCAGCCCTGGGAGTGAGATACAAAGCCAAGTACTGCCCACGTGCTATGTTACTTTTGAAACCCTAATGGAATCCGAGATGGTTGCCATGTATTCAAGTGTATAAATTGGCCTTTCAAGCTTTCCTTTTTTAAAGGGGCACCTTTAAATTGCCAGCAGCTGAGCCCTCCACAGGCTGGTTTTCAAAAGCTACTAAAAGCACAAAGGGAAGAGAGACCTAGACAGCAGGTATGGGTCAAAACCCACATTTGTACCCTGCAATGTTTATATAGGTCACCTATATGCTGAGTAACTTATGCCACCACAAGGTACAGCAGTTGTGGTCAGTGAGCTGACAGCTGAGAGCTGACAGTCGTCTGGACTTCTCCTATAACAAAGCCATTGATTTCCCTGTCCAAGCCCAAGGACTACGCATTTCCAAACAGCAAGAAGTTTTCAAAATCCTCACCCAGTGAGGGGTTGCAGTGTGTCACTTGCCAGAAAACAGCCCATTGAAGGCAGCTCTCCCCTCCTCCAGAAGAAAACACAGCTAAATCCAATGAACAAATTGTTGCTTCTGGGTAGTATATTTGCTTATGCACCATGCACACAGCCTATCTGGGTTGAACTTAATGAGCATTAAAAATCCATCTCATAATGGTGACCTTGTTCTCTTGCATTGCTGCTTGGAAGGAAAACATTTCCAACTACCCTTTCTTCCATTCGACCCCCCCAACAGCCACCTTATTCTCTGGCTAGCATTGACTAGTTCTAAAAACATACCCAAATATTTGGTCTTAAAAAAAAAAAAAACCTTGAGAACAGAGAAAAGGCATTTCTTTACCTCCCCTCTTCATCAAGATGCACTGCATTGCCACCTTCTTTTGTAGGCATCTGTCTAGCTCATATCCAAAAAGATAAGTCAGTTGGTTTGGTAGGTGTATCTGCCTTGGTGATGAGGCCTTTCATTCCTTCATTCATTCATTTGTTAAATATGTTGGAGTGCCTAATCACTGTCTCTGAGATCCAATACTAAACAGCGGTAAAGAAAAAGACCCAAGTGCTAACACCAAGGATCCATGAGCAGGTTCAGCATCTCCATCTCTTCATCATCACTGAGGTCAGGCCCCCAGGAAAACGCAAGGAGGTTCCCCTCTCTCTGTCCTTCCAGACCAAGTCTTCTGTACCATATACCACTAAAGAAATCTTGGCAAAACAATTGAAGAACAACCCAATTACTTGTTAAATTCTGTTCTGTCTTTAAGCTCAATGTCTCACTTCATGTCTTACAATTCCTTTTTATTGTGTGTCAATAAAGCTTATTATTGTTAGTGACTTTTACCTCCCTTACTATTATTCCACTCATGATCACCTGTAACTCATAGATGGCACTACAATTTAGGCAATGGATACGCATCTGAGTGAGTTTTGCAAAAGAGAATTTTTGTAAATTGAATCCTATTTAACAGAAGCCTGGGGTGGCATCTTTTGTTTCTATCCTCCCCTTTGTCCCTCAAATTACAAATTCAGCTGTTGGTTACTATCTCCAGTAAAACCTCATTTGAATTTGTCAGATCATGGTCTGTTCTGATTGTTTTTTTCTGATCAAGCAGAAACACTTCTCCTGCCTTAGTAAGTAGAACCTGGTAACCATGTCCAAAGAACATCGCAAAGCCTCAGACAAAATCTTTTCACTGTCAGAGCTGGACATGACAGAAAAGAAGTCAGAAACCTGAAAATTAAATGTGCACTGAGTCTAATGTTATTAGAAATTTGATTTGGACTTGTTTTTTTATGCCTTGCTTCTTTGTCCTAGGGGTTAAACACAGTAAACAAATCTAGCTCTAGTTATCAAGGTTTCGTTGAGTTACTTACCTTCATCCCTGGTCTCCAGAATTTCCAGACTGTCAAAAACTTCACTTAGTGATTCAGCCATGGTAGGATCACTAAAATAAAATGCAGAGTAAAAAATGAAAAGATCATCATTTGATTGCCTGGGTACAATGCAATCATTTCACCCTATCTCTTATCTTTCAGCTAGATTCTTAAACTATTCAACAAAAGATATACAAATGGAATTGCCATTAGGGAGAATTATCCTTGTTTAAAAATCCATTGATTCCATTGATATGAAATGTCCAGAATAGGCAAATACATAGACATAGAGAATGTCTTGTGTAGACTGGGACAGATCGGTGTTTTTTTGAGGCGGAGGTCATAAACAAAGAGTACAGGGTTTCTTTTTGAAGTGATAAAAATGTTCTAAAATTGTGATGGTCACACTAATCTGTGAACATATTAAAAAGTATTGAATTGTACACTTTAAACTGGTGAATTGTACACTGTATGAACTATATCTCAATAAAGTTGTTACCCAAAAAAAGAGAGACAAATGCAAAAAAGCTGATCTATTGTTTTGTGTTGGGGACCATTATTTTTGGAGGCCTGTTACTATTCATGGTGTGCCCAGGGAGACAAAATTGCTTTGATATACATCCAGAGCCATAGAGAAAAAGGTTGAGATATTTGACTACATAAAAATTTAAAACTTTTGGCCAAAAAAAAAAAAAAATGAATCAACAAAATAATGACAAACTAGGAAACAATACTTGCAACAACTATGACTGATAGGGGCCAATTTTCTTAATTTGTCTAAGAGCTCATATAAATCAATAAAAATCAATTCAGTATAAAAAGGGCAAAGGGTACAAAGGCAGTTTGCAAAAAAAAAATATGTACTCACCATCAAATTGGTATTAACTAGTTAACACATAAATGCACATATCAGAACAACATCTATTGGATGTTGGGGAAGGGGGAGGGCGGCGGGAGGAGAGGGGAGGAGGGAGGAAGGGACGGGTATTTGTATACACAAGGAGTGCAATGCGCACTACCTGAAGGATGGACATATTTGAAACACGGACTTGGGGGGGGAACCAAGGGCAACACACGTAACCTAAACATCTGTACCCCCATAATATGCTGAAATAAAAAAAATAAAAAAAAAATAAATATGAACAGCTAATAACCACATAAGGAGAGGCTCAGTCAGACTCATAATTAAAGAAATATAAATCAAATATCAAATTAACATTTTCATCTACCAGATTGTCAAAAATGGTTTAACATTGATGATATCCCATTGCTGACCAAGGTGGGGAAAATAGGGACTCTCATACACTATGGAGTAAGTAGCTCTAACTCTTTGAAAAGAAATTTGGCAACATCCATCAAAATGTAAAATGCATATACCTTTTAATCCAGTAACATCACTGCTGGAACTTCACCCCATAGATATACTCACACTTGCATGCAAAAATATACATGCAAGAATGAATGTTTATCACAGCATTGTTTTAAATCAGCGGTCTTTTTGGCACTGGGGACCGGTTTCATGGAAGACAATTTTTCCATGGATGGCTGGCAGGAGGTGAGGGGGCGGGGAGGGAAGCAGGGGTGGTGGGAGAAGCAGAGGCGGTGGGAGGAGAGAGGGGAGGGCATGAGGGGGAAGGGAGGCTGAGCTCAGGCAGTGAAGTGTGGCCCTGTTTTCCTGACAGGCCACAGACCAGTACCCAGCCACGGCCCAGGGGTTGGGGACCACAGTTTTAAATAGCTAAAAATGGGAAACGACCAAGTGATCATGAAAAGCATAATTCTCCCATGACTCTATGTCATGCTTCTAGGGAAGTATGCCAGTCAATAATCAAACCTTTATAAATCAATATTGACATTCTTGATGGGAGTTCATGTGTGTGTGTGTTGGGGGTGGAGGCGGGTATCTGATGAGCACCATAACCAGAGAAAGGGTGCTCTACTCACACACAGCAGGAAGGCTGTAGAGAGACAAGCAGAGACTTTGTCCCCATGGTACCCCCTCCCCCGGGGTCTTGATATGACTGACTGAAGTATCATCAAGTGGAATTAAGCAAGTTCTAGAGCCAACTTGCCCATCCCAGGTGTGCTCTGCTCCAGACATAGCCAGGCTGCCATTGCTGTTTCATAGATGGACTCCAGGACCATCCTGTCCTGCTCTCTAGCGTAAATCCCTGATACATCTCGAGAGGTAGAGAGGGATGACCACAGGCTCTCAGGCTAAGGAGAACTTGAGAGTTCACATAGCCAGAGTGACTGAGGCCTTGGAGAGCAAAAGGTTCCAAACCACAATGTGAGCTGACAAGGCCATGGTATCAAGATGGGTTCAGACCCACTTACCGAATGCCCTGTGGTTTCCCATGATAAATGTTCTCCCTCACTGCCATGGGTAATAAACGCAACTTGTCAACTACAGGTACGTTCCTGGCTGAAAGGTATTGATACTTTGTTCAAGTCACTCAGCCTCTACAAGCCAATATCACAATTCGGCCTAAAGATGACTGAGTCCTGGCCCATACTGTGCTCGATAATTACCACACACACACACATACACACACACACACACAGGGGCACATATGCACACATACACACCCTCTCTACTTCACAAAACCACACCCCCTTTTTTACCATACACATCCCATCAGGAGAGCCCACAGATATCACACCAATGCACCATCTGGAAAGAATGGATTTACCCTTGGCATTTCTGCCTCTACTATTTTTCCAAGTTCCATCTAGAGATCTGGCAAGAGCAAAGAGGAAGGGAAATTCACAAGCCCCTCAGAAATTCACAGGCAGAATAGGAATCATTCATGTCACTGGTAAGTTCCTGGCCATCTCAATACACATGTTTAGGAGGGGAGACAGTTCCACATGTCCTGATGAATTGACTGACAGGGGTGCTGGCCTCAGGGCCTTTAGGATTTGGTTGGGGAAATAAGGCAAGTATGCCAGAAAGCACTTCGGCCAGTCTAAACTCAAGGGTTAAACTGAATGGTTCTATGGTGCTCTAGGGGTTCAGATGCTGCCAAGATGCCCTCGTTCTTTGTTCAGACAGCTCTTTCAAACATGGTAATGACACAGCAAGGACAACTGTTTAGGAACAGACTTGGGTGAGGGAGAAAGCCTGCGGCTCTGGGGTAGTCACAAATATAGTTAATGAGGAGCCTAAGCAACCTCACCAGGGATTGGGAGCTCCCCCAGAGAAGTCACCCAACCCTGTGTGCCCAGAGAGAGGCTTTCTGGGGACAGTAGGTTTCCCAGGAGCCTGGAATGTAAACTCAAGCCATGTCTGTGGCCTGTTGATCCAGTGATGGCTAATGAACCATGGCACAGGTTGGATCCAGTTGGCTTTTCCCTCACAAAGCCATGGGTCCCAGCCCTCAATGCAGGTCACCGTTTTACAAACCTGCTGGTCACCAGGGGGCTGCTGGAGGGAGTATGGATAACTTTGGGAAAAACACACAAACCTCCCCTTGATCTCAAATTCTCTTCCAGTTACCACCCCACTCCTCTGCATTTCAAAAGTGTTATCTATACTCACCGTCTTGATGTCTTGGCTTCCTGTTCTCTTGCACTCTCCAATTAGGCTTCCAAACCCAACTGCTTCCAAACCTCTCCACCCAAACTGCTTTTGTTGAAGCCACCAGTTACTTGACCTTCCAGCAGTGTCTGATACCACTGATCACACTCTCCTTTTTGAATAATTGTATCATTTGACTTTCAGAACACCACACTCCCCTAACTTTCCTCCTACCTTATTGGCTGTTCCTTCTGGGTGTCCTTTGCTGGATCTTTCTCCTCTCCCTGAATTTGAAATGCTGTAGCACCGCAGGGCTCTGTCCTTGGCCCTCTTCTTTATCTACAATCACTTCCTAGACCTGGGCCATTGCATAGAAATGTTAACGTGAGCACAATTGCAAGTCATGTATATAATTTCAAATTTTCTAGTAGCTATGTTTAAAAAAGAAAAAAGAAACAGGTGAAATTGCTTTTAATAATATATTTTATTTAACCCAATATAACCAAAGTATTATTTCAACATTTAATCACTATAAAAATAATACTAATGATATATTTGACATTCTTTTTTTTTGCCCACACTAAGTTGCCACATCAGTCACACTAGCCCCCAGCTCCAAACACCTCAGTGGCTTGCCATCAAGCTCAGAGAAAAATTCCAGCCCCTTACCATGGGTCTTGTGTGATCTGGCCCCACCCACATACCCCACTGACCACCAATCCTGCTACCCTCCCACTTTGTCCCTCCACCCAGCCACACTGGCCTTCTTGGTAATCTCCAACACAGCAAGCCCCTTTCAATCTCAGGACCATTGCATTTGCCACTCTCTCTGCTTGGTGGGCTTTTTCCCCAGATAGTTGCATGGCTGACTCCTTTGCGGCATTGGAGCTTCCAGTGTTACTTCCCCTAGAAAGCACTTCCATGATCATCCTAGCTAAAGCACTCCTAGTCTCTCTCTCCAGCCCATTATCCTTTATTAACATCTTCTTAGCCCTCATCGCTACCTAAACTTACATTTTATATTAATTTAATTACTAGTTTCTTGTCTGTCTCCTCTACTAGAATGCAAATTCTGTGAGGGCAGGGGCCTGTCTATTTTGTTCATCAAGGGATCTCCCAGCACCTAGAATGAAAGAGTCACAGGAGTTACTACTGTTGCATTAGATGTGGCATGTGAGGGGTATGTCAGGCACCCAATGAATAGTTGTTGAATGAATGTATAAATTGCATAAAGAAGAGGACGTAATCTAAAAACCACCTTTGTGGTCAGAAATTTCTTAGAAGTAGAGGCATGGTATAGGAGGCAGAGGAAGACTTGCCCTAGGAGAGGACTCCTTGTTTCCCAATTTGGCAGGACCAGCCTTCCCTTCCAGCAAGGTGGCCCCACTCCTGGCTTATTCACCTGTGCAGAAGCAAACACTCTTGGGCCCCTCTAGTCCATAGAGTTCATTCCCAGGTGTCCCAGCCATGTGAACTCTGCATGTGGCACTCCATTCAGCTGGGCTAGGCCTGGACCCTCATGGAGGAGGAGGTTTCAGTAACAGAAAGCCT